TAGGTAGCAGAGATCAGTAATTAAACCAGGTCAACAAGCAATGGCTTGGCACTTGAGTGCTTAAGAGATCCTTTTGGCTAAGTCTCTGCTGCGAAAAGTTGGTAAAGTTCCCTTCTTCATTCTATTGAAAGTCTGCTCGAAGTCATTCTACAACTACTTCTATGGTAATAAGTTAGTAGATGTGCTGCTTCAGTGGTTTCTGTATACTTTGCTTTGAAAAACCTACACTGGACTGTTGGTATATAACCATTGAGGCCCTCATTAGGCGCTTTTAGCCCGTCAATTCCCTTATCGAGGGATTTAGTTAAAGAGAGGCGAAACAAAAATTACAGATTGTGTTATCTTCCACAATTTAACTGAGGTCTAGCTGCAGAAATTGGAAAAGTGCTAATTTTTTCAATACGGCATGGTAGTTAATACTCGAGTTACGGTACTGAGTATAACTGCGAACTCTCGTATTCATTATAGTCTGCTCTGGTTGTGATGCTACCGACGTTGTCGAGTCTAACTACTGTAGTACAGACGTTAACTTTAGTGCCACCTACCGCTTAAATTTGTCATAAATGAGATTGAAGCGCTATCTGGCGGTGCAGGTTTACATATCACAAATATCTCGTGCCATGCGCCACATGTGAAGAGATAATGCTTTCAGCCTGTCTCTTTATCAAATCACTGTTGCTTACTGCGCCTAGTTATTTTCACTGCAGTACGCGAAAAACCTGCTTACTACTTCTCTGCTCAATTATAGAAAAAAATATATAGAAATCTGTGATTTAGTAACCAAATGAGTTCTAGAGCCTTATTCGACCTTCAAATTTAACAGTAGCACTGAGGGTAATTATGAAATTTCCGGTAAGGTCTACAATTGATAAGCCTTCAAACAAAATTGACTCAAGCATCGTTTTCTTCGACGTTTCGGTGCTATCGCTTTCACTACTGTTCTTCGTGCTTGACAATGAGTGCGAGCAGTACGTGTTTGAATTTTATGATATTTCTTCTTCTGTTCTCTACCCTTCAAACACTTCACAGGCACTTAAGAGTGAAGTATCTCGAGGTTTGTTTATGTAAATACTTAAGATTTGCAACTGAGTAATTTTTTGACACCAGCGCAAATTTTTTGCAGTTCGATAATTCATGCTAAGATAAGAGAATATTTGTCATTGGCATTTTTTGTGGCGAAAATTGAGAGTTCTTTTATATGTGAAACCCTATATCAAGGCAACAAGAGGCCGTTTCACCAATATTCGTAAACTTCAATCGTTTTGAAATAATTTTCGTCCACTTTTTGGCACATATTAGACGGCATCTCAGCGATAACTTGATGTGTGTTAGTTTTCAAATGCTCCAAAGTAAAAAGTTTATCTTCATAAGCACGATATTTCGCGTAGCTACACATTAAAAAAATTCCAATATTGAAGAATCGCAGAATCTCGGTGGCCAATTGACATCACAAAGACGATAGATTATGCGGCCGAGAATTTTCTCTCACAACAAAGCCTCTTATTGTGTGGCATATGGCAACATCTTGTTGAAACCACATATTGTCCAAGTTGTGTTCTTCAATTGCGGAGCAAAAAAAGTCGGTGGTTATACGACTGTAAGGCTCCGAACGCCGTTGTCGTTTCCAAAGAAGTAAGGTCCACTCACACCTCCAAACAAAAGAGTGCACCAAAGACCGTGAGTCTGGGCTTTCTTCAACCATTTGAGTATTCTCGGTGCCCTAACTAACTAGCTAACTGTCCAAGTATGAGGAAGTGTTCTTCATTTAAAGTCTGTAAGTTATTTTTAATTTTAATCTAATATAAAAAGTAACCAAAATTTAATTGGCGTCAAAAGATTCGACTAATCTAAATTACTTTATATCCCTGTCAAATAAAACATTCATAAAGCATGAGTAACACTAAAGAAAATCTTTTTATCAAAACTTCCTTGTCAGTGGCTTTACCACGCTTAGGTTTAAGTAAGAGTAAAAATAATTCTTCATTAAATTTTTAAAATAAACAAATAAAATAAGAATTCCAAAATTGTTTCTTCTCTCCACAGATAAGCCGCAAAAAGTATATCAAAAGTGAATGTAAGGGCAATAGAACAAAGTACAAAATAGCCAGGGAGAACAGCTGAATTCGCAGACGCGTGATAGCGTGATGTGTACAAATAAATGTGAAAAGGTATGCGTGAGGAATTAAAAAATCAAACAAATGAACTTTTATAGACGTCTGCCGCTGCTAATTCATGCGCCAAAAAACAAGCAGCAAAAGAAAACCGAAAAATGTTTGGTGAGTCTCATTGTGTTGTTATTCTTACCAGATATACATTTATACATATATATTTATGTTTGTGACTTTTTTTGCAGATTTTTGGCGAAAAAAGAAAGGAACACTTTTTGCTAAAAATGAAAATTTGAAGTAAAAGAACTGGCGAAAATACCTTAGATATAAAAAACAAAAAATAAAATAAATGAAAGCGACAGTTTTAGAATTGAAGTGAAGAAAATTGAAACAAAACCAAAGTAGTAAAATTAAAATAAATGAAATAAAAAAAAACACGCAATGGAAAAATTTTCACCAATATGATTAATCGTAAACGTTAACATTTAAAATTAATGGACAAAAACTTGTGACAAAAACGAAAAAATTGAGAATCTTTTGGTAAGTAGTATTCTTTTCATTTTAAACAAAGAATTAAATAAAAAAAAAATTTTAACCGATTTTTGGTTTAGTTAAATAAATTTATTTTAGTTAAAATATAAATTTCAGAAGTGGAATAAAATATTAATTGAAACAAAAAGAAAACCAGCCAAATTCAAATATAAATATTTATATTAAGAAGCATAGTTAGAACTGTCCGATTTTTTTCAAATATGCATCACTTCAGCGATAACTTTTTGCCATTTTGGAGGCAATCATTCATTCATTCTGTTTCACTCATAAAAGCCATCCATCCCCATTGGCAAAAAATCAATTGTCATAAATAGGTGGAAACAAATGGTAATTACTTGGTGCGTGGCCTCCTCACCTCAACCCTTTAACCCTATGCTCTCGAAGCTTCTGACGACTCATTATCAATACTTCTCCCATTTTCATATTTTTAGTACAATATCATCTTTTGAACGCCATCTTGCGTAATACAAACGCACTTTTAGAACCCCAGCTACAGACCAGTAGAGAAAACCAATGGCTGACCTACTTGAATACTATATGACTTTTACAAATGGATCACTAAAGTTTATTCTAGGCTGCCGCTGAATGGCTGATGAATTTTTATGTTGAGCTTTCTAAGTTCATGCCAGAAATGCACTCGAAGGACACGAGCTTGACGTTCTCTGCCGAGGGCGATATTAGGAAAATTTACTTATCTTTAACATGAATTAATTTTTCTTCCCTAACTTCCTACATGTGCCTCTACTGCTAAAGTACATTCTACCCGGTGAGTGATGGTAGTAGGTAATGGTTTGCTATTAAAGTAAAAGACCTTGTAGGGTTCTCCATCACATTTACTAGTATTATCTAGGAACTTTTCTGCTTTGTTATTCTCAAACTCTTCCTAAAACTCATTTACAGCGACCCCCCGAAAATTACTGGTAGATCAGTCAAAGTATATTAACTTTTGTTATGATGTTTCGTGGAATGTACTCCCCGCCATGTGTGATATTTTCGAGATCTGTACATCCTAGAAAATGGATGTCCAGTTCATTATCCACACTACTTACTCGTAAGCTTAGGAGCAGTCGAATGTTTAGTCCAGCCCTTTGTTGTATAGATTTTAAAAATTTCAAAAATCAAAAAAAAAAAAACTGAGTTAAAATAAAATTAATAAAAATAAAAAGAAATGAGAAATCTTGAAAAAAAATAAAATAATAATGACAATAATAAATAAAATAAAAATAAATGAAATGAAGTAAAATATAAAGTAAAATAAATAAAATAAAATAAATAGTTAAAAACAAACAACTTATTCATTTGCAGAAAGCAAAAACAACCCAGAACTTAAACAGAAATAACACCAACAAAACAATTTGATAAAAATAATGGCAAAATGCCAGTGCAAAGACAAAAATATAAACAAGAAAAATTAAAAAGCATTTGTAAATAAATAAAAAGATAAATCCCTAATAATATTAGTATTAAATGAAAATATTAATATAAAAAAAAACACAAAGCGCAGCCACTCGCATAACAACAGAGATATGCTTGTTCTTTTTAATGTTTTTGCCGATTGCCACAACTAAAGCGCGCAAAGTTCAACTTTTGTTATCTGTTAAGGTGTTAAACCAGGTTTGTCTTTAACCCCAAACGCAGAACAAATACAGAAACAAAAGGTGAGTTAAATTTATAGATTGAGACAGCAGTAAAAAAAAGACAAAAAGAAATACAAAAATAAATAAAAAACGAATAAACAACTTCGGCAATGAATTGAAAGATTATGAGAAAAACGCAAAAAAAAAAAAATTAAAAAATAAGAAAAAAACGATAAGCATAAAAACAAGAATAAATTCAAATAGGCAATAAAACAAAACAAACAAAAATTCCCAAAAAATATTATATAACAATTAAAAAAAACTCAAAAATAAAAATGAAAGTTAAACCAAAGGAAAGTTCGAAAAGTCAATAAAATGGAAGCAAAAAATAGAAAAAAAAACTAAATGAAATAAAAAAGGAAAAAAAAGAACTACTAAAAACAACAACCAGCCCTCGATCAGCTGAAATAGTAAAAACGAGTTCACTTAAACAGCCGCACAGAACATGCAAACACATATGTACACCTATAAATATTTATTTGGGTTCAAAAACCAGCAGCTAAGCAGAGTTGTTAGCAACAAAAAAAAAAACCACAACCGCGAACGTCATATATTTAAATAAATATTTCATAAAAAAAAAAAGAAAAAAAAAATGAATTCTTTCATAATATTTTGTTTTTAATTCATTGTTTATTTTATTTAATTTTTTTAAATGTGAAAAAGATTTGTAAGGCATTTAAAAAATTTTCCCTCAACTGCTTACCGCTCCATAGTCATTTTGCCGCTGTATCTGTTTGTACTTTCTTCAATTTGCACTTGGTCTGTAGTGTTGTGATTTGTGTGAAATTTTAATCAGCTGTTGATAAGAATTTACTGCACGTAATTGATGCGTAGGCTGAACAAAACAGTTATTTTGCGCTTTTTTGCACTTTTTGCACTTTGATAAAAGTATTTATTTGCGGCAGCTACTTTGGTTATTTTATCACGAATTTTTTTCCGTATTTTTACACACTTCAAAAAAATTAATACTGTTGTGTTTAATTAAAAAGTGATTTTTTTTTTGTGAAAAGTATAATTGCTCAACATTTTTCGAAAACACTTACTTCCTCCTACTTTTTTTTTTAGGTAAAATACTCTTTTCTATTTTAATGTTGAATTTCTTTCACGCTACTTGTAGCGCTTCGCCGTAAGCAAAGCAAAACCAACAACTCTACACGTTTAACAGACGCGTACTGCTATAAAACTGTCAAAGCGGCGCTATTTATGGTTGATTATGGAGTCTCGTTAGCTCCTCTAATCAATGCCGATATGCAATTGTGTTTTAGTGTGTGTGTGTGCGTGTGCTTGTATGCATGTGCGAGAATTCGCAAATTAATTGGTATTTCATTGTTCGAGTGCTCTTTTGACGCTCACGCACTCAACTAGTTTGCTCAGTTGATCTTGACGATCACAACCACAAAAAAGGTGAAACAGCTGTTCTTAGCTTTTGAAAGCTTTTTTGTAAGTGGAAAGCATGGTGCATACATTGGCTTAGCTGAGACAAGTACCTAAGAAGATGTGCATAGGATGGGCTTTCAGCTAATCGTCAGCCTCTAAATATAATTACTATCATACAAAAAAAGCTTAGCTGTGGAAAATTGTACCCTCTCGGCGACAGTTTAGTAGAAGAATTGAGTCTGAAGAACTCACCTTCTCAGAATGAGAAATCCTTTAAAACTGAATGCCAACATCTAAATCAAAAAAATCTATATGAATCTGTATTGCACCTGTTCAGAACGGGGTTAAACTCATTTTAACATAAAAAAATAAAAAATTGAAACAAATCAATATAAAACAAAAATAGAAATGGAAATAAAATAATATAAATGAAATGATATAAGATAAAAAAAATAAAATAGAGTAAAAAATGAAAAAATGGAATTAAATTAAAGTAAAATTATGAGAAACTAAAAATAAGATTAAAATAAAATAAAATAAAATAAAAATTTAAATTATATAAAATAAAATAATATAAAATAAAGCAAAATAAATCAAAAAATTAAGAGGATACAATTAAATTAAGTTAAATAAACTTAACTATAATTATAACAAAAATACATAAAAATAAAACAAATATATTAAAATCAAATAAAATGTAAAAAAAATTTAAATGAAATGCAAAATGTAGTAAAATAAATTTTAACGAAATAACATTAAACAAAGTGAAATAAATTACGTTAGATCCTAATAATTTTTTCTTCTAACACTTATTGACTTTAAACCTTTTGAGAAAATCTAAAATATCACTCATACGCCCCCGCGTATCTCTAATTATTTTGTATACTACATAAAGTGCGTCAACTTACAAAATTCAAACAAGTATCGAATTAAGTAAGTACATACATGTGTAGTCCATAGCTCAACAGAAAATATCCTAACGAGTGCTACCAGTAGGTGTAAGCCTTGATTGCTTTGCCAATACAGATATACATACATAAAATAAAAAAATATTTAAAATCAAATAGTGTAAAAAAATAAAATAAAATTAAATTAAATAAAATAAAGTCAAACAAAGTAAAAGAATTAAATAAAATTCAATTAAAATAAATTAAAAAATCGAAAAAATAAAATAAAAATAAATTAAAAATAATAAAATTAAAATAAAATAAAAAAAAAAAAAATAAAATAAAAATAAAAAACTAATATATAAAATCGAAACAAAATAAAATAATTTAAATGATTTGATGTTAAATAAAATAAAAAAAAAATAAAACAAAATAAAATTATGTAAAAAAATATTATAAAATAAAATAGAATAAAAAAACTAAAAAAAAATTTATATATTTCAATTAAACTAAATAAAATTAAATATAACAAAAATACATTAAAAATAAAAGAATATCAAATTAAAATAAAATAAAGTGAAATAAAATATTCAAAATCAAATGAAATAAAATAAAATATAAATAAATTAATTTCAAATGAATAAAAAAAATTTTAAATGAAATGAAAAAAGTGAGTAGAATTAAGTTAAATAAAATAATACTAAATAAAGTGAAACAAATTAGGAAAGGTCCTAAGAATTTTTTCTTCTAACGCTTATTGACTTTAAACCGATTGAGAAAATCTCAAATGTCATTCATACGCCCACGCGCATCTCTAATTATTATTTGCTTTTCAATATTTATAGTAATTTTCTTTCATTCCCTAATCTCTTGAACAGTCTCCTATTTACTTTGTATATTATATAAAGTACTTCAACTTACAAAATTCGGACAAGTATCCAAATAAGTATGTGCATACACATGTAATCCATAGCTCAGCAAAAAATATCCCAGTGAGTGCTACCAGTAGGTGTAAGAATTGATTCCTTTTCCAATATAGATATACATGTATATGTATAGACAAATGTATGTAATTGTATTCACATTGAATCCTTTTCATTGCCCTTTTGCATATATGTATGTTGGCCATAAGCATACATATATATATATATATATATACGAAGATTTGACCGACTTACGACGTCAGCAAAAGGGAATTACAAAATGTTGCTGAGGTCATAACTACAAGTAAATATATGTATTATGTGGGAAAGTGAGCATATGTAACTAAAATAATACAAGCTCATGCATACATACATACATACTTGTATATTTGTGTGCATAAATTTACCCAGCAAAAATATATTCTCACTACTTTTGACTTCGGAGAACTCATATCTGGCATGTAAGCTAAAGAAAAAGTAACAATATTAATAAAATAGTCAAAAATTAGTAATTAGAATATTTTGGAATATTAAAATACATTCCAAGATCTCACTTACGCTCTCGCTTCTATCATCAACCCTCGGTATCGGATTCAAAAGGCACGTCTTACGCCTTTTATCACACTGATTGAGATCCTTTCCCTCCTTTCAACTGCAATGCAGTATTTCTCGTCTTACTAGATATTCCTTTGTTCTCGTCAGAGCTCGAAATCCGATCACACAAAACAAGAGGGCATACGAAATAGATGTGAACTTGAATGTCTGTTAGGAATAATATCGGCACCAAACTTGCTGAACAGTTCCGGATTCGGAACATAAAACCTAAAGGTTTTCCTTCTATCATAACAATGCCGATTTTTCTGGTTGGGGATTTCAAACCTTTAATAGCCAGGAGTGCCTTTACTCTTTGCCATATTATGAGGAAAAATGAGTCCATCAGACTCGGTTTGCTTGTTTGTTAGGCTTGTATTAGATAGCCAAATTTGTGGTGTCAAAGGTGCTTATATAATAAATCTTTTTCCTACGACTTCATTATACATAGAATCCCTTCTTTAGCCTTGATTCCTACTATACCCAAGGCTGATATATTGATTCCATGTATGATAAAGTCAGAGGAAGCTCTACAACTTTTGCAAGCTCAAAACCTTATATACCAACAGCAAAACACTGCACATAACTGAAGTAACTAAGATTACCGAGGATGAGCTTTATTTTCCAAATTAATAACGACACAGAATCTTTTGTAGGTTAACCTGCTGGATCTTCAATCGGCAAAATACAAGAGTAAGAGAACAGCTGGAGAAAACAGGAAGCAGGAAACCTAGCAGTTTAAAATGTGGTAACGTCTTTGTGGACTTATTAAAGAGCTTTCTCTACCTAAGTCAAGATCATCCTGTCGTTGGAGAAAACTTAAATCCCAACACAGTTGGGCTTTTATAACGTAACGATCATAAACGGGGCATAAAGCAGGCGCACATCGAGAAAGCATATGGAAAAGGTACCCGCGTGTAACGGCGGTTTTGTTAAGAATGATGGCCAATATTGAGACCCAAGCAAGGGAGCACTCATGACTAAAGTAAAGTAAATAAGTCGGCATCTTTGTGTGCGGCATTCAAATGCTGACGATCAGCGCGAAGAAAGCAATATCAATGATTGGGCTAAGTGCCAGGCAATCCCCGCGAACCAAGGTAAAGTAGAACACAAAGACGTGCATGGAAGGCCAATTAGTCTGAGCTTTGTTCTTCTTGGTTTTTGCAAAGAAATTACTAACTATGATTTCATATGATCAGTATAATGCAATCTGGAATAGCAAAAAAATCCAACTGAGCGTAAAGTCGAAAGAGATGCTCATTAAATCGGGCATGTCGTTCTTGACTGACGTTATGAAATCAAAAAAATTTCACAAACTAATATTTTGACGTAAGTTGACTAGTTTTAAAGTGGTCCAATACTTGTCCAATTGACTACCGGTTGCATCAAAGTAAACAATACATATATATACATATATATATATTTATGTGTGTTTGTGTTTAAAATAAGCACAGCCCAAGTGCAATTTATGTAAATCTATATGTATGAATTATATACCAGCTGGGAACTGTCCACCACTGTCAGCTTAACTGAGAAATATTTTTAAATGCAATAAATATATATATATAAATACATAGAAACATATGTGCATATCTCTGACAAGACTATGTATGTGTCTGCATATCAACTTGTATGGGAAAAACATAATTTCTATTGACAGCTTCCCTACCTCCTCTTCTTCCTCTGCTCATCACTCTTCACCACACCACAACAATCTGTGCACACGTGCAGAATGTGTTGTCAGCTGGCTAAACACGATGTGGGAGTAGGAAGAGACAACTGTTAATATGTACATAGTGTGGGTATGCAACTACATACATACATACTATACGGTTAGCACCCATGACGAGTGTGGGTGACCGTGCCAAAGCTAATTAAAAAAAAAAGAAGGCAAATAAAAATCGAATTTCTGGCGAGCTGCAAATATTTACACACACATACACCTGCACATAATTGTAGATTTATGCAAGTGCTTGCGTACAATAATAACAAGCGTGCAATTGTATGTTTTTGCATGTCTGTATATGTCTATGTGTGGTATAAAGTTTCCCGGAAAGCTTTTCATTCATAACCTTGCAAACTTCAGAAATGTATGCATTTAAGAGTGTTTATGTATAACGGCAGTATTGAAATTAACTCGCTCCCTCTCTCACTCTCACTCTCACGCTCACTGTATTTTATTTTACATTATTCCTGGAGAGCCGCTGCGAAGTGTAGCAAATTATATCA